GAAGGAAGGAAGGAAGGAAGGAAGGAAGGAAGGAAGGAAGGAAGGAAACAATTAAAAGGTGAAGGCTAGCTGAGGACATATTGCCTCCTGCTGCTCATTTCACATACTGTTTCCCTTTAAGAGACCAGAAGTGGGAAATGAAGAAGAGCTGGTGTCTGTGCTGCAGCAGCTGATGGGCAAGTCACTGAATGAAGTATCCTTAGAGGCAGCACTATGCTTGGGTTTCCTGAGGCCCAGCAACAGCATGGTCCAGGAGTTCTTTCAGCTATGCCTGAGCCAAGGGTCCATGCACCAGAGGATGAAGGTATGAGACGGGGAGCTGAGAACCCTTGGAAGTTCTTGGCAAAATTGGGTGGAATCTGTGCCTATTGTCACATCCCAAAGAAATCAGGCTTCAGTTGTGCATAGCAGAGCTCTGTTTTTATGATATATAAATACATGGCTATGGGGATACATGGACAAATAAGTGTGCACATGTCCATATGTTTGGTATGAGTGTTCGTTTATTTGTATGTGCACACATCCACTGGTGCTCTCATTCAAAAGGCCATGAGGCAGAAAAAAGCACCCTCTCCCTGTTCTCCAATGAATTCTAGCCCCAGCCTTAAAGTCTGCTTGGCTATCAAAACACCTCTGGGTACACCATATAGCCCTCTTCACCCTTCACAGGCACTTAGGATGCTGGTCAAGATGATGAAAGTTCATTCAGCTGCAGTCACCAGGGCCATTCTGGAACAGCTATACTCTGATGTCCTTGACGTAAGCTCTAGGCTACCTTCCTTAGCACTAGAAGAGGACTGGATAAGAGAAAAAGTATATCATCTTTCCGTGTCCCTTCCCCTAGGATCGCTTTGAAGCCACCCAGATGCTCAAGACCATTGGGCTGGAAAAGATCCAGGCACAAGGACTGGAAGAACTCACATTTGACCTGCTCAAGAGGAAGATACACAATGAACCCTTCCTAGTAAGATCCTAGCTCCCAGTCCCAAATCTGCCTCTTACTCTCTTGAGATAGTAATTCCCAACAAACACCACACCCTAGTATCACACTGGTTTTACCCTAGCCCTCATTCGTCCATATTTTTAATCTACCTTATCTTTGGTCAAGAAGTTTCCCAGCTTGAATTCCAAAGTGGTTGTACAAGTTTGCACTCCCACCAGCAATGGATGAGATTCTCGCCAGCATGAGCTGTCACTTGAGTTTTTTATCTTAGCCATTCTGATGGGGCATAAGCTGGAATCTCGGAGTTGTTTTGATTTGCATTTCATCAATGACTTAAGAACATTGAGCATTTCTTTAAGTGTTTCTCAGCCATTTGAGATTCCTCTGTTGAGAATTCTGTTTAGTTCTGTACCCCATTTTTAATTGAATTATTTGGTTTGTTGAGGTTTAATTTCTTGAGTTCTTTATATATTTTGGATATTAACCCTCTGTCAGGTTAGTAAGATCTTTTCCCAGTCTGTAGGCTGCCGTTTTGTTCTATTGACTCTACAGACTGCTTTTGGATCACTTTCTCCTGGATGGGCTGCCTTGTCTGGCCTCAGTAAAGGAGGATGTGACTTGATGTGCCACAGTGGGTTGGTGAAGGGGAAGGGGACCCTTTTCTGAGGAGAAGGAAAGGGAGGAAATGGGGAAGAAAGTAGAGTGGAACAGGAAGGAAACAAGGGAAGGGCTGGGATCAGCGTGTAAAGTGAAATAATAAAAACATCAACATAATTTTTAAAAGGGGGTTAATATAGAGATATATAGAGCCAGGTGTGGTGGCGTTAACCTTTAATCCCAGCAATCTGGGAGTCAGAGGCAGGGTAGATCACTGTGAGTTTGAGGATAGCCTGGTCTACAAAGTGAGTCCAGGACAGCCAAGGCTACACAGAGAAACCCTGTCTCAAAAAACCAAAAAGAAATTATAGAAAATATACAGAAATAATAAAAGAAAAAAAAGATAGATTATTGAATGCGGTTTTCAATTATAAAACTATTGCCATTCTCAAGTATTTTTTTAATTCATTGGTTTAGAATTCTGTACATTGATACAGGAATAAGGTTATTTTTTATTCATGGGTATAGAATATACATATTGATTCAAATTTAAGGTTATTTTTGTTTTGTTTTGTTCTTTGGAGACAGAGTTTCTTTGTGTAGCCTTGGCTGTCCTGGACTCACTTGGAGACCAGGCTGGCCTCAAACTCACAGAGATCCACCTGCCTCTGCCTCCCTGAGTGCTGGGATTACAGGTGTGGGCCACCGCACCCAGCCCAAATTTAAGGTTATTTTTGATTCACATATGTATTTATGTTTCTAGTCTGGTATGGGGTATTAGACCCATACAGCTCATTTACAAATGTAAGGTTTACTTCCAGTACTGTTAAAAGCTGCTATTACAAACTGTTTAGAATAATGAACTTATACAAGTTAATGGTTAATCAATCAGACGCATGGTTCTGTCAGAAACTAGTCTGGTTTATCAAAGAAATAAAAATCCTAGGTTAAACAGATAGTAAATATCTAAAAGTAAGCAATGTTTGCCTATTCAGATTTATGATAGATAGATAGATAGATAGATAGATAGATAGATAGATAGATAGATAGATAGATATGATTATATACTATGTAATATAAATAGATGGTCCTTAGAGACCGACAGAATATGGCATCTAAAGATATATTTATTAATGTAAGGCCTTTTTGACTTGAGACATGTCAGCTCCTGGCAACACTCCCAGCCTACCTCAACAAAGATGATGAGCATCATAAAATCTCCTTTTGGAGAGAGCTTCATTAATGGCAAGCAAGCCACTGGGCAAAAATGTCCCAGCTCTCTCTACAGACAATATGCTGTCCAAAATGGACAAGATTTGGACACAGGCCAAGTTGACAGAGTAAGCAAGTTCTTCATATTTCTGGCTTCACAATTATGTCTACCAGATATACTGGGCCAGAAGGCTGAAGACAATGCTCCGATGTTATAGAGAGAGAATGGGTGACTGACTATGCAGTAAACTGCCTCTATCACCTCTTAGTTTGGGACTTCCTACTTTAGTAATTTTATTCCTTCTCAAGTCTCTGATGAGGTTAAAGACTAGACAGTTATAGTTTCACATTTAGGCATAAGTTGTTTAGGGTTTAAGAAAATGTTTTAAGGCCTAGAAAAATGTTCTTTAAGTTGATAAATACAAGGTATAACAGAGAATGATTTAGGTACAAAATTTTAGATTTACCTAGATAGGAAAGATAGTATTTTCTTCAAGGTTGCCAAATACAAATGAGCTAATCATTTTTAATGTAACTTTTTACAAATGGCTTTACTGGTTGTTTCATAACTGTTCTTACTGTATGCTGTTTATTATAGTCCATATTTTAAAAAAATTCCTCAGCACAAAAACACCACCCAAACTGCTTCCTACTATTCATTTCTTCTCCTTTCTTCCTATTAAAATGCTATTGCTATTACAAGCCCAGTGTGGCAGTACATAACTGTACTCCCAGCAAGGTAGAAGCAGGATAATCAGAAACTCAAAACCAGTCTCAGCTACAAAACAAGTTTGAGGACTCTGTGGGAAACATGAGATGTGATGGGCATGGATGGCCCAAAAAGAACTTATGGAAAGCTTTCCCAAATCACCAGACTCAATCCTGCCTTTTTCTACATGTCATCCCACTTAACTTTACAGAACTGCAACATCTCCACATTGTTCTAAAATGTAGATTGTCTCACCTCTTCATAACACTTCTCAGTGGTTTCCAGTGCCCTCGGGGTGGCTTACTTCGTGTTACATCTCAAGCCTCATGCACCTCTTTAGTTTCTCCCTTCCAGTGCCAAGGATCAAATCCAGGTGCTTGTATATACTCTACCACTGAGCTACTTCTACAAGCCTTGGTCCTTTGAAGACTCACTGTAGCCAGCTGACCTCGAACTCACACTCCTCCTCTCTCTGCCTCCCAAGTGCTGGGACTACAGGTGTGCAGCATCCTGCCCAGAGCTTCTCCAGCTTTACTTCTCACAGTCACGTATCAGCTGTGCTTAGGGTGACCATATCCTGATGAACCAGTATAATTACTGACTGCAATCTGAAAAGTCCCAGTCTGTTTCCCCCATCCTTCCACTCATCCTTCCACTACAAGCTGGGACATCACTTCCTCCAGGAGTGCACCCTTCACAGTACTGAATTGCCTGTTTGCCTCTCTGCTTCACCTGCTGAGCTGCTCGAGGCAGGTACCCTTTGTAATAAAAACTCAGTGTTTAATAAAGGTGTATGAAGTGCTGCAATGGCGCACCCCTGTATTCCCTCTTTCTGTTGTCCCATTCTGCAGGCAATGAGGCAAGCTGTGGCTGAAACTGTGGAAGTGCTCAAGATGAAGCCTTTAATAACGAAACTGGTGGAGGCGTAAGTTGAAACTAGACAGGGCTAGAAGGCAACAGAGGGGTTGCCTGAGAACCTTGTCTGTACTTTTGGGCAGGTCATACTAAATCTAGGCTTTTGTTTATCTATTTAGGAAAAAAAAAAAAAAGGCTTATGCTACCACTCAGGGTTACTATAAAACACTACTATAACCCCAAATGAACTTTCAGAAGGCATCAAGTTCTGGTGATAATCAAACCCTGATCATCATTTTAGTGTTTCATGGCAAAGTATAATACCTGCCCCTCTCAGCTTCTTCTCTGACTTGAGAAACAGGAGAATGAAATTAGCAACTCATCACGCCCAAATCACTCTGGGCTGAGATGTAACCAACCTCCCTCCCTTGCACTGAACAACATAATCCACTTCTACACAGGCAACTGATGAGTCCAGATGTCACTGCCCGCCAAGAAGCAATCATCTCTTTGGTAAGCAGGGATGGTTTTGTTTTTTGTTTTGACTCAATTTTTGAGACTTATTGATGATGGTAAACAATTGAGGTTACTGAGGATAAGAAAGAACTGTAGTTTGGGAAAGTTATTTACTTTAGAATTCTAGTACTATTGAAGGATCAAGCCTTGGGCTGAGTAGGATAGATGGTAGCTGAGTATGAAGGATGCTATTAGATATTACAGAAAAGGTCTCGACTCTGACAAATAACGGGAGTGAGATTCCCCAAATGCCAAGGAAAGAAACCACATCTCTCTAGGTCATAGGGTCATCTCAAAAGGAGGAGGAGGGAAAAGAGGCTGGGGACTTGACCTTCCTGGGGCTGGCTACTTAGGCCGTTACTCATTCTCTGCCCAGGGTGCCCTGGGGACCCGCAACGAACAGTTGTTCCACCTGCTGCTGGACATGCTAGATGCAGAAGAGACCCAGAGTATGAAGAAGAGTGTAAGACATTCCTGCCCTGTGGCCCTCTTCTCTATTTCTCCTCCATATCCCTCCCATTCATCTGTTCGTTCAGTCAACAATGGGGAATTGGGGTAAAAGTCTTCAGACATTGTCCCTTGGCTTGGTTCTTTGGGCCCATAGTAACCACGTGTAACAACTTCCCCGTTTCCGGCCTGCGCACAAAGTGAGCCAGCCTCAGGGTCTTTATTTCCATGCAGATACAAGAAACATTACTTGTTTGGGCCTCAAACAATCCCTGGATCCAAAACAAGCTGAAGAACAAGGTTTTCTTTGTGTGTGATGTACCTAAGACTGTGAAGGCAGAGCCTACAAGGTTCCGGGAGGAGCCACAGGGCCTAGATGACATATGTATCAAAGACTTCCGACAGGTTAAGCTGAACCCCTTATATATTGCAAAGTCCTGCAACAAGCAAGGTGAAAAGCCAGAGGCACCTGCCTTTTCATTCTATTTCTCCGAACCAAGAAAGCAAAAGTCACCGGACAAAGGGCCTTGGGAGCCAAAACTCAGGGCACAACTCCGGGACTTGTTGAGGCCTCAAAATAGTTTTATTTGGACCTAATTCCTATCCTTTCCTTCAGAATGGTTTCCTGAGAAGATACCTCTTTCATTTTCCCTTTCATGAATAAACACTTGCTTGTTACCTTACCTAGTTTCTGAATCACCACTGCTATTCACTTCCGAGGTTACACTGCGACAGTCTCCTTCCCATGGTTGGGTGTTCTTTCTATGCAGTCATAGTTCATCAGGCAGAGGGAAGGACAGAGCCCAATGTTCTTTATCTGTGGCTAGCTTTCCTCCTGTTCTAGCTTCATCCCATTGCTGCGACAAATAACATTACCAGAAACAACTTAGGATTTATTTAGCTTACATTTCCAGGTCACTGTCCATTACTGAGAACATGGATATGAAGGCATGTGGGACCGCTACTTGCAGGCTTACGCTTAGCTAGATACCTCAGACATCCATGGGATACCACCCACAGTGGAATGGGCCCTCCTATCAATTTAGGATCCAGATAATCTCCCATCAGACATGCCCACAGGCCAGAGGTAGGCAATGCCTTAATTGTAGTTTTCGCTTCTCAGGAAACTCTAGATTGTATCAAGTTGACAATTAAAAACAACAACAACAACAACAAAAAAACTTCACTAAATCAAGTTCCTTGTTAGTGCCCAGAACCTGGTAACAAAACCAGAAAGCTGGACCTCTGTCAATAGAAAATATGGAGAAAATACTGGGCAGTTTGCTGCTCAGACCATTTTTTTTAAACTAACTTTGCCTCCCAACCTCATTCATCTCTCTAAAATGATGAGAATTAAATTTTTTTAAAAGAAACATTCTCTTTTTAAAGATTTATGTATTTATTATTTATACAGTATTCTGCATGATGTGTGCCTGCAGGCCAGAAGAGGGCACCAGATCTCATCATAGATGGTTATGAGCCACCATGTGGTTGTTGGGAATTGAACTCAGGATCTTTGGAAGAGCAACCAGTGTCCTTCCAACCTCTGAGCCATCTCTCCAGCCCAAGAATTTTTAATTTTTAAATTCCACTTATTTATTCATGTGAATACATATGTATGTATGAATCTACATACCACAGCACAACTTGGAAGTCACTTCTCTCCATTTACCATGTGTGTCCCAAACTCAGGTTATCAGACTTGGCAAAAAGTGACTTTATCTGCTGAGCCATCTTTCTGGCCTCTTTCAAAAAATCTTTTTGAGATAGTGTCTAGCTATGTATCCCAGATACTAGTCAGAGCCAATCAAACTTGCTGCTGTCTACCTACCTCAGTCATCCACTTTAAAAGACCCCATTAACTTTGTAAAATTGCCTTGTTTTCCTTTTATTTCTATTGACATATGTATTTCCCTTTGTCAACAAAACCTACTATACTAATCTCAACAAGCTTCGAAAGGCTGCCAGGTATGCTGAATATCCGCAATCACAGAATTTGGGAGATTAACAAGGAAAAGAGTAGGTCCGAAGTCAGCCTGGGCTATATTTTGTTGTTGTTGTTGTTTTAAGATTTAACCAAACCCAGATCCTCTGAAAGGGCAACAAAGCTCTTAACCACTGAGCTATCTCTACAGCCCCATACAGTGAGTTTAATGCTAGCCTGAGCTATATACATCAAGGAAGGAAAAAAAATGGCAAAGGAAAGAAAGGGAGAGGAGGTAGGAAGTGAAAAGAAATGAAGTTAATAGTATAGTTGGCTGGCGTGTGGGACCTTTGCAGAAACACTAATTTTTGAAAGTGCAGTACACTGGTGGTAATAGAAAGAATAAATGGTTAACATCTGGGAATTTTGGCAAGTGTCTAGATCAACACGAGATTTCAGATAAGCATAGATGGGAATATTTGAACTGGGCCTTGTAGATACTCTTTATTTACTATTAGAGATCCCATTTCAAAGATTCATTACAGAGGGTTGTGTTACGTGGATGGTTTTGATGGTTGAACGGGCATTCTGGAATTCTGAGAAGGGGTAAAGAAAGGCTCTGACACACTGGTGATAGACCAGGTGCTAAGTACAGTATGAAGCCATTTATGCTCAGTGTTATCAAGTCTTCTGCTGAGGATTGGTGAAATTAGGATTGAGACGCTACCACAGTGACCAGCACCTGGTTGAGTAATAAAACATCCCAAGACACCATTAATAAGAACAAAAGGGGTTGGTATCATCATTAGAGAGGACCTTATACTATAAAAAATTCAGGCTGGCTCTTGTGATCCTCCTGCCTCAGTCTCTTAAGTGCTTGGATTATATGTGTCACCACACAGAGCAGATTTTCCCTTGAAATTTACTCTTCCCAGTATTAAATAACTCAGACAAAAATCATGTTCTTACATACAGGTACTAGTTCATAACGTACTGTATGCAAGCAGGAGTATTGGTATAGGTTATAAAGCTAAAAAGAAGAGGGGTCTTTCTTCCCTTGGGTCTATTCAGCCAAACAGGTTATTATTGAGTTTCAGGATCCTCTTCTACTTGTAAAAAATGTGTCTGAGTTGTTCTAAACTACTCTCTCCTTATACACTGTCTTCCCTAAACTAGTTACACTGGGTGCTTTAAAAAATGCCCAGGTTAGCTGGGCTTGGTGGCACATGCCTGTAATCTTAGCACTCAGGGAGGCAGAGGCAGGCATATCTCTGTGAGTTCAAGGACAGCCAAGGCTACACAGAGAAACCCTGTCTCAAACAACACCCCTCCTCCCAAAAAAAGAGCCCAGGCTTCATTTAGATGTTTAGATGCTAGACATCTAGGGTAGCTGTAATTGTATATATTCTTAACTCCCACGTACTGTAATAATTTGCAAATATGTCTAATGAAGATATTACAAAAGGTATAATGGCTAAGAAAAACAAGGAAGAAAATGGTAGTTCATAACCTAATGCAGTATTGAAAAGGAGTAGACCGCATTGAGTATCCAAAAATACTAAATGTGTGCAAAGATTCCGAAGCAGAAGCCTATTTGGTATTACCAAGAACTACGGGGCCAGAGGCTGAGATATAGCTCAGTGATAAGGATGCTTGCCCAACATGGCTAAAGCTCTTGGGTTCAATATCACCATCACCCTAAAAAAAAAAAAAAAAAAAAAGGAAGGATGATCACTGTAGCTGAACAAAAGTGAACATTACAGTATAGTGTTAGAAAGGAAGGTAAATCCTGTAGGATCTTGTAAATCAGGGGTGAGGAATTAGGTTATAGTCTATATGGAATACAAAGCAATTCAAAGAGCTGGAGAGATGGCTCAGCAATTAGGAGTGCTGTTCTTGCAGAAAACCTGGATTTGGTTCCCAGCACCCACATAGCAGCTCACAACCGTAACTCATAACTCAAGTTCTAGGAGATCCAAAGCCCTCCTCTTACTTCCACAGGCTACTACACATGTGGTACACAGGCATATACACATACAATTAAATAAATGTTCAAAAATTGAAGCCTCTGAAAGTTTTAAAAAATACTGACATACAGTATTATAACTTACATCTTTACATCATTTAGTTGTGTAGGGAAACTTGTGAACAAAAAGTCTACTGCAATAAGTATCATAAAGAGACAAAAGTAGTTTGCTATCAGAACTGTCTAGATTATAGATATGGCTTTGGAGTATATTTTGAAGGCAGAATCAAAATGGCCTGCATATGTATACAATTTAAGTTAGAAATCAAGAAATTCTAAGTTTTGACCTGATCTGGCCTGGGTGGGTTGGTAAAGACAGGTTAGGAAGACTAAGAAAAAACTGATTTGTAAGCTCAAAGGTTCTATTTAGTACATGTTAAGTTTTAAGCACTCATTTCCCATCTAATTGGAAAAGACAAACATTCAGGGGTGAGAGATAATGAAGGACACCAGGACTAGAAATATAAGTTTAATAGCATGGTAACATTAAACAGACATTCTCCGAACTGACTCCCTACACCCCATCAAGCTCTGCTCCACCACATCTGGGTTGAAGCTAGGGCTGTAATCTTAAATCCTCAGGTCATCCTTGAGAACTGCTATTCTAAACAAAGCAGGAGCTCAATAACAGTTGGAAATAACGCTTAGATTTACTTAGGTAATATTCATTTTCTAATTCTGTAGGGTTAGTTTGTTATAACTGAGTCCTAAGTGTAACAAACAATGCACTCAATGTCCACAAAAAAAACAAGCAGCTTTTATTGCAGTATTACAAAACACTTTCCATTTGGCAATATCTTACAATGCACTTAGCTTTAAGAGTTGGGAAGGAGAAGGTGGGAAACTAAAAGGGAAAATTTCAATGGATATTTCTAAAAGGAAAACTGTCCCCAGCCCTCCCACCCAAATAAAAACCCAAATGTCAATTTCACTACCCAAGAGGCCATGAGGAAAGCAGCAGGCAAACTCCTGACAATTCCATTATGGATCATGTCAGAAACAAAGGAATAGTCAAAACAGTCATCAGTATGGTCGGTTGCGCTGATCATTTCTGTAGTCGTTTCTGGAAACAAAAAAATTAAAAAAAAAAAAAACAACACTAAATTATCAAGATTTTTACCAATGGAGCATCAGGCATTCCTTCAGAGTGCTGGTGACCTGTACCAGCTAGATATTTTCTATAAAAACTGGAAATACATCTTATTTTTGAATCCCAAGAAAGTATTTTTCTTTTTGAGACATAACCCTGGATCTCCTGGAACTTATTCTGCAGATCAGGCTGTCCTCAAAATCAAAAGAGTATTCTTAATAACTCTAATTCATCAGCTTTAAGACTTACAAACTTTGTTAAAGAGGCTTTGCTATCCATCACCTCTAGTAATTTTCTACCAAGAAATAAAAAAACCACTGTAAATACTTCCAATTATCTAAAATGCCAATCCTAGTCTCCAGATAAAACCTGCACAGTGAAATAACTTTTAAATTCACATTTCATGTATAAATTCTGTATCTGTCACTTGCTATGTATGTAATCTCAAGTTACTAAATGTCTGACGATGTTAGGTAGACTAACAAAAGGACCAGAACTAAAGTTGTATAAAGACACTCTACAGTATTTGCCACAAAGAAGTTTAGTATATGATAATT